TGCGATCTGTGAAACTGTCGCCATTTTCGAGGCCTGCTGGGGGGGCCCAGCACAGTGAGGGCCACGCGCGGATTCAAATTAGACCTCGCCATCTCTGGGGGGGGGCTGCGATCTGCGAAGCTGTCGCCATTTTCGATGCCTGCTGGGGGGCCCAGCACAGTGAGGGCCACGGGCATATTCAAACGGGACCTCACCATCCCTTGGGGGCTGCGATCTGTGAAACTGTCGCCACTTTCGAGGCCTGCTGGGGGGCCCAGCGCAGTGACGCCACGGGCACATTCAAATGAGACCTCGCCATCCCCTGGAGGCTGCGATCTGTGAAACTGTCGCCACGTTCGAGGCCTGCTGGGGGGCCCAGCACAGTGACGCCACGCGCTGACCCAAATTAGACCTCGCCATCCCTGCGGGGCTGCGATCTGTGAAACTGTCGCCACTTTCGCGGCCTGCTGTGATCCCCGTTTTCAAAGTGGTTAGGAGCGCTCAGGAATTATGACTCATCAGCTTTATCCAGCCCTTTTCCTGTAGCCAGTGTCCTGCGAGTCTCCCGAATTCTGTCTGCAGACATATGTAACCCTCGTTCCGTCATCGCCCCCTTAGAAAGTATCCTAAACTATGTGCGCCCCGCTTTTGCGCAGGGGTTGGGTACGTCGCCAAGGTAATATGTGTGTATATCTAACATAACCACCATACTAAACTAAAAAACGTATCAGCGTGACTTCGGATAATGCAATCACACCTAATAACCATACGAACAGGGAGAATCATACGACTTAGGTTCACACGAATACAAAAAAACCTGGCGAAGGACCCAACCATAAGCAATGGTTCGTAACGCGTTGTGGGTGCCGCTTTCGGTGGTGCTCCCTATGGGGCCACGAAACGCTGCCTTGGGTGGGGGAACCGCATGCGAGAGCAGCCACTGGGGCGGGCGTTCGGTGGAGCTCCCTATGGGGCCACGAAACGCTGCCCTGGGCGGGGGAACCGCATGCGAGAGCAGCCACTGGGGCCTTCGGTGGAGCTCCCTATGGGGCCACGAAAAGCTGCCCTGGGTGGGGGAACCGCATGCGAACTGCGCCACGGGTGCCGTCGGTGGAGCTCCCTATGCGGCCACGAAACGCTGCCCTGGGCATGGGAAACGCATGCGAACTGCGCCACTGGGGCCTTCGGTGGAGCTCCACCTGGGGCCACGAAACGCTGCCCTGGATGGGGGAACCGCATGCGAGAGCAGCCATTGGGGCCTTCGGTGGAGCTCCCTATGGGGCCACGAAACGCTGCCCTGGGTTCAGGAACCGCATGCGAACTGCGCCACTGGGGCCTTCGGTGGAGCTCCCTATGCCCTGGGTGGGAAACCGCATGCGAACTGCGCCACTGGGGCCTTCGGTGGGGCTCTTTATGGGGCCGCGAAACGCTGCCCTGGGCGGGGGGACCGCATGCGAGAGCAGCCACTGGGGCCTTCGGTGGAGCTCCTCACAGGGCTACGAATCGCTGCCCTGGGGAGGGGGAAAACAAGCAAGAGCAGCCACTGGTGCCTTCGGTGGAGCTCCCTATGGGGCCACAAAACGCTGCCCTGGGCGGGGGAGCCGCATGCGAGAGCCGCAACTGGGGCCTTCGATGGAGCTCCCTATGGGGCCACGAAACGCTGCTCTGGGTGGGGAACCGCATGCGAGAGCAGCTATTGGAGGCTTCGGTGGAGCTCCCTATAGGGAACCGCATGCGAAACGCCTTCGGTGGAGCTCCCTATGGGGCCACGAAACATTGCCCTGGGTGGGGGACGCGCATGCGAACTGCGCCACTGGGGCCTTCGGTGGAGCTCCCTATGGGGCCACGAAACGCTGCCCTGGGTGCGGGAAGCGCATGCGAGAGCAGCCACTGGGGCATTCGGTGGAGCTCCCTATGGGCCACGAAACGCTGCCCTGGGTGGGGGGCATGCGAACTGCGCCATCGGTTATGGGGCCACGAAACGCTGCCCTGGGTGG